CGTGGGCTCTAAGAGTTCGCATGCCACAACTAAGGAGCTGGTGAGCCACAACTAAGGAGCACTCAAGCAGCAACTAAGGAGCCCACATGCCACAACTATGAAGCCGGCGAGCTGCCACTAAGGAGCCTGCGAGCCGCAACTAAGACCTGACACGACCAAATAAATAAATAAATATTTTTTTAAAACTCTGTTGGGGAAGGATAGAAGGTTTGGCAGAGAGCTTTCTTGTAGCCTATAGAATAGCCTCTTGGGGGGTCATGGGTCCTCACTTCTCAATGGGTCTCATTCTATTACCTGCCTTAGAACTGAGTGCCAATCTGGAACACACTGTGCCAGAATCTTTTCAGTTCTCCTCTTAGATTAGGTGAGTGGAGAGGTGTCTAATTGGGAAAGGGAGTTCTGTCTGGGTATTTTAGAGAGACTAGAAAGAGGAGGAGATGGGTCCCTTAATTGCATTTTGACAGGCTGTCTTGGGACCTACAGGTTGAAAGTTCAGGGTAAATAAGGCAGTGTGTAAAAGCCATTTGGAAACCATTATCCATTTTGTAATTTTAATAGGGCATCCTTCAGTAGATCATTGTTTATCTGTAGATGACAGGACAAATGAAAGTTGCAAGTGTTGCTTTCTTGTAAGGTCTGTGCTTGAACTGAATGAGCACTAAAGTGTGTATCCTGATCAGAGTCCATGATATCTGGGGGCACAGAGGAAACCAAGTTCTAATGAGGGCTATAGTGGTGAGGTTAGCACCCTGGAAAGGATAAGCCAAGAGTAGACCTGTATACGTATCAGTCATTGTGAGGACAAAATGGTTTGTGTCAGCACATTGGCACAATGGCCCAATAAAATAAATTTGATGGTGAGAGAAGGGTCATTCACCCTTTGGTATAGACCTTCATGTGCTGTGCCACCAGTAATCACGTTGGGAGGGTAGGGTTTGGGTTAGGGCTAGTGACATGGAGATGCCATGAATTTTGGCCCCAAATATAAGCATCTGGGGCCCAAGATGAGGGTAATACTTGAGTTTATTTGAGAAATGGGAGCAAATTGGACAGATACGACATTTAAATGAGCCACCTCTGGGAGTCATGGTAGGATCTGAGATGGGAAATTTTCATTGTAATACATGAGGTCTGAGAGGTAATATATTGCTAATGTGGAAGGCCCTGTCATAGGGGATAAGCCTGAATGTGAAATCTATTTTGAGCCCATCAACTGAATCAAACAGTCCAGGAGTCTGTAAAAATATGAAAAAAATGAAATAATTTTTTGATGGTGTCCTCCAGTTCAAAGTGACTACAATTAGCTCTGTGAATTTTGTCATCCTTTATTCGGGACGTCCCAGTCGTGGGATGGAAAGTGGTAACTCTCCATGGGCTTCATCACAAATGATGTGGTGCTGCTGTCTGAAATAAATGGACTCCCTTTCCACTGGGACTTGGTTTATCCCAAGAGGCCCCACGGATGGCCAATGGGGCCAGGAGGGGGCAATCGCTCCTGGATTTGTGGACTTGGGCAAAGGACAGAGGGTGGGAAAAGCCACATTCGCCTGTAGTTTGGATATGCCTGAGGGTTCAAGCCGTATCCTGTAGGTACCATTTCCTTTTAATAAGGAGGCTTCACTGCCTGTTCCAAGCCTGTGGGGTGTTGTTTCCATAACCTATGGTAAAATAGGCAGTTGCACTTAAGGGTCATGGGCTCAGGGCCTATGATGGCTTTTTTCTCAAGTAGGGCCCAATCGGCACTAAGATTTGTCTTTTAAGAGACATCTACCTCAGCCACTGAGGGTAGTTTGTATCTGAAACACATGGGGAGTTGTTGGCTATCATGTGTGGTCCAAAGACTCCAAGGGGCACAAGACAGTTGCTAGGACTTCCACCATCCCACCAAGGGGTCACCAGGCAGATGTGGCATCGCTTGTTGGATGGTCTTTTTACATGGGCCTGCTGTTGGGGTGGCCCCCATTCAAATTGAAATGATATTTTCCGTGACTTTTGTCAATAGATTTTTAAAAGACTATTGTAAATGAATTGTTGCAACCAAATGTTGTAGGCCATGGCCTGATAGTGCGCTGCCAGAATGGAGCTCACTGATTTTGGGTGACTCAGACTCATGTAGGAGACACATAAAGAATCAATCAAATTACTCTACCTCTCTTGGGCCCATGAAGGTTGTAATACAGTTTTTATGTTTTGTTTTGTTTTTGCCGCGCCACATGGCTTGCGGGATCTCTGTTCCTCCACCAGGGACTGAACCCCAGCCACAGCAGTGAAAGGACAGAATTCTAACCACTAGCGCACCAGGGAACTCCTTGTAATAGAGTTTTAAATTAAAATATTTTATCAACAGTTCTGCTATGTAGATCTTCAAATGCACAGCTTCTTGAGCCTTCATCTTGTGCATTCTTCAGAGGATCTGAAGTTCACCAATAGAGTCTGAACTAAACTTTCCAATGATATTATCTAGGTTTGCTGTTCTAACAGAGACAAAACGAACAGCAGTTTAAACAACATACAATAGTTTTCGCTCACGGATTCAGGTTAAGGTAACACTAGCCCCAGTAGGAAACCACCTTACTGCCCAGGAACTCGGCAATATGAACTCTGTCCCCAAAGGATTTGCGTGAACTGTAGTCCAACAGCTCCTAAATGGCTCAAGTACTTCCGGCAGAAGAGGGTGGGAACTCGGGCTGTGTTCTCCTCTGGCTTTCTGGGAAGTGTAGTTTACAAGTTCCGTAGAGATTCGGACGCTTCTGCACAGGCGCCGCTGGGACAGGGGAATTGTGGGAAGTGTATCCCCAGCGCAGCCTGGGGGCGGGGTTTCAGGTCCTGCCGCTCTGGGCGGTCAGGTAGTCTCCCTCTCTTCTCTCGCGCTGGTGAGTTGCTTCCGCGTTTTGCGGCCCGTGGGAATTTCCCTGGGAACCTGTCCAGCCCAGCCATCAATTTGGGGGAAAGAGCTGCTTCAGAGAGCAATGGTTTGAGGGCTGGGACGTGGGCGGTGGTTCCTTTGGGCGGAGTCCTCTGCGTTTGGTGCGGTGGATGGGATCGTTCCTGGTCTGGTTGGAGGGGCACTAGGGCTCTCGCCTTGAGGACCCATCCCCTAGGCCGTGCACCTAATACCCTGCTCTGTCATTTCCCGCAGTAGAACATTGGGTGAATTACTTAAATTTCTGTCTCTGATGGTTTCTTGTAAAATTGGGATGGCATTACTACTCTTAAAAAACAAAATTCAGGGAATATTCCGAAGGTCCAGTGGTTAGGACTCCGAGCTTTCACTGCCGAGGGCCGGGGTTCAATCCCTGGTGGGCGAGGTAAGATCCCACAAGCCGCATGGCGGGGCCAAAAACAAAACAAAAAAGGCAAAATCAAACAAAATTCAGCTGTGTAAATTTGAAGATCTAATTGGCTTTATGCAACAGTTGGTGAATTGGGCAGCATCCCATCTAGTAAATAGAAGGGTTGTACAAAATGGAAAGTTGTTTTTTTTTAGGCAGAAGAGTAGGGCAAAGGAATTATTAGTAAAAGAAAAGAAAGGATTATTTTTAGGTCAAGATCTCTTTTTGTGGGGAATGGAATGGCAAGGGCTTTATCGTGAAGATTGCCTCTTCTCTGGGGGATGGAAATGGGCTTTGTAATAGATTACCTCGTTAGAGCTGGCCATAAA